CCTAATGTAAGTAAGCCACGGCTCCCACCAGCTGGGCGTTCAGTGAAGCATTCTCAGATCCACCAACAGCACCCTTTCTGCAATTTGAACTTTTAACCTTTGTGAATATTGCTATATTAAACACCATAACACCTGCTACTTTGAATGATGTATGCTAGGTATATATGCTAGATAACTGGAATCTTTAGACACAGTGCGAGGCAGGGTGTACAGTTTAAGGCATCATAAAGTTGTTATGCAACGTCATTTAAATCAAACCTGGTGCATTTCCTTTTGTCTTCACTAGAGGGAGACCAAGCCTGTTCAGATGATGTATTTGCAAAAAGTATTGCCATTTAAGCATATTGAGGAGTATGACCTGCAGATAGTGGAGATGCCCTACAAGGGTGATGAGCTGAGCACATTCATCCTGCTCCCTGAGGGGCCCCAGAATGGCTCCAACCCCCTACAGAAGGTGACCCCAGCTTCTCCATAGATAGTGATTTATCTTTATGTTCCTTTCTCCTAACCATGAATCATAAAACAAAAGTCAGGCAGCATGGTTAAGTTATTGAGATGAAGCCCTGAACATATCAGAGGTCTCCAACAGTTCCTGCTCATGTAAAACCAAGTTTTATCTTTTGTTGACTGTCTGCATGTTAAAGCTGGAGAAAGAGCTGACCCTGGAGAAGATAATGGAATGGACAGACCGGAAGAATATGGACAGCGGTGGTTACATTGACTTGTACCTCCCAAAGTTCAAGCTGGAAGACAGCTATGACCTGAAGGAAGCCCTGACTCATCTGGGCATGACGGATGCGTTTGATGAGAACCTGGCAGATCTGACTGGCATAAACAGGGAGGGCGGCCTCTTCATCTCCGCTGCTGTTCACAAGTCCTTCATAGACGTGAACGAGGAGGGAACTGAGGCAGCAGCTGCCACAGGAATCTCCATAAAGCTGTGTTGTTTGATCATAGGGAAAGAATTCATGGCCGATCACCCTTTCCTCTTCTTCATCAGACACAACACGTCCAAGACAATCCTCTTCTTTGGCCGATTTTCCTCTCCATGAGATCCATTTCATATTTACGTACTGCCAAAAATATTAGTCCATATTCCATATATTGATTGCTTCTATCACCGTAGAATCTACACTTGATTTTGTGAGTAATTAAAAAGTTTTTCTAATAGTGCACAAATTAGCTTTAATTATTTGTAATCCAGCTTTATTATTGTGGCTTAATGTGTTGATCCAATTTCTGACACTGACTGACATTATATTATGTCCAGATACTTAGATGTATAACCTGAAACTTATCTTGTGGAGCTTGTAATTATACATAAAAAGGCAAAATATATAATTTCCAATTGTCAATAATAACTTGTTCCATAGATAAAATAAATTCTTCCTTATATATTGTCACACTTCAGGAATAGGCGAGCCGGGAAGCAGGCGAGTAAGCCGGGAATCCTCAGAAATGGGGTTTATTACGGGCAGACAAGCAGACAAAAGGCAAACGTCCTGACAACACATGACACTACAATGACGGATCTGGGGAAACTAACTGAGACACGGACTAAATACAAAAGACTAGCCAGACATAACAGGACACAGGTGATCACAATCGGGGATGCACACGAGGTAATGAGGGGGGCGTGGCACACATCGGGATCGTACGGAGCGGGACGTGACATATATTGAGTTGGCAATTATGATTTTTCATACCCACTTGTCCTGTGCTGTTTCACGGGAGTCCAGAGCCCAGAAGCAATAGGCACACGGCAAGGAGTAAACCAGGATGAGGCACCAACCCAGCACAGGGCACACATACCATTCACACACAACGTATGTCTCATGGAGAGCATGATAGGGTAGGTGAAAAGAGAACTTTGCCACAAGCATGAATAAAGTGTTTCTATTCTATTCTGTTGGGTATGTCAAGAATACAACTTGATTTATTACATTAAAAAAATACATCCATCCCTTTTACTTATTTAGTATCCCAAGACATACACTTCCAAAATAAGATAATTATAAACAAATACAAGATTCAACAAGACCGGACAGCCCTATTCTGACTTTAATTCTTCAAGTGCTCAGTTCGTCTGGGCATCATTTTGCCATCCTTACCATAGCTAATGGAACCAGGGGTGTTTTCCGGAGCAACCAGGACACTGACTGCCCCATTTGGCAGGAGCCAGCTGATTATCCTGAGGTACACAGTCATTTTCAAGATAGACATGTTAAAGACTGTTAAAGATTTTGAATAGGCAGCAATACTTTTCTTTTGGTTGTAAGTAACGCGAGAGCTGTGGTCGTGACGTTGCACAGAATTCACAGCAAAACGTGGTCCATTCCATCAGTGATGTGTGGGGCATTTGATGGAGGGGAAAGGCAAGGAGTCGTTATTATGTTTTATATGTGGTTTTGATTTAAAACTGCACACTTATTTACATATTTAGCACACTTGATGGAAAATTTAGTGTATTGTTCATCTGCCTAAAATATAGATTTATCGATACATTTATCGCGATATTATGTTTTGTCATACTGTATCGATTCTCAAAGACACTCTATGGATTTTTAATTAATACTTTAACTGCGAAGATTCACAGCACACGGTGGTTTGTTTTGTGCTGTGTGTAAATCCCCGACTGCCAGACGTCAGTGCTGTAATTAATCTTAAGCCATTTGACTCTTTCAGTCCACCTTAACAACAAAAACTCAAGAATTATATCAAGGTGTTCACCGGTGTTCTAAGGAGTTGAGCTCCCTATGGACTATCGAGCCTTTTTGCACATGTGCAGTTCCGCTGTTTGGGGGTTAGGTTTTAGGGGACTTGACGAAGTAGCTGAACTCGACAGAACACCACATTAAATAGGGGGTGCTGTTTCGACAAAATCCTGTAGAGGGTACCATGTATGCGAAATAGAAGGCTCCAGATTTTTTTCTGCATTTCATTTTGCTAAGAAAATTTCAATAATTCATATGCTCTTGGTCACACGGCCATTGGCTCTTAAACTGTACTTTTAAATAAAATTTATTTTTTGGAATTGATCAGTTATATGCTGTGTTTGAGTTCTCATATTCCTATTATTAGTATTACTGTTATTTGAAGATATTATACTGTACATTTTTTAATTTGATGCCCGTTGACACTGGTGCTCTTTCACTAAGACCTACTGTACAAACAATGCATTTTCTGCCCAGGTTAAGGGCTTCTTATCCACAGTTTCCCTTTTGAGGGGAACCGGCAGCCACACATGCTTTGCAGTTTATTATAAAGACATTTTGAAAGTACAAAATAATGTAAGAACAAAACGTATTATCTGTGGCACTTATGTTTAGTTCATATATGAATTTCACAAATGTCCCAGTAGTGTAAATATAAATGGAAATATGGGTACACATTAATTTGAATAAGAAGCCACATTTCAACCCACAAATAGACGTTGGAGGTCTTATTCATCCTGGGCCAGACAAATACTAAACACATATCAATAGTGCTGTGTGATATAGTGTTGTAGTACTCGAGACCGGTCTCGAGACCAATTTTTTGTGGTCTCGGTCTTGTCTTGGTCTCGACCCTATTTGGTATCGGTCTTGTCTTGGTCTCGACCCTATTTGGTCTTGGTCTTGTCTTGGTCTCGGACATAGCGGTCTCGATGGGATTGAGAAAAAAAGAGCGCATCCTCACAGAACAGTATCATTATTTATTACGCGCCTCAATTCAAATGCAACCAGTCAGATGAATCTATTTTAAAAACGTTACATTGTATACATTTTCTCAACGGACACTGCCAGCGCTTCACAGTCCACAAAAATCATACACATCGCTTCATAGCGAAGTCAGCAAAGAAACGTCCGAAAATGTCCGCGAAATCGGCAGTAATTAACTTTGGCTTTACAGAGCACAAAGAGTATATTTGCAAAACGTTCCAGAAAAAGAAACATTCTGCTGTATG